ATATTGTAACATGTATCAGTACTACATTTTTAATGGCTAAATAATATTTCATTGTATATCACGTTTTGTTTGTCCATTCAATAGTTGATAGACATTTGAATTGTCTCCACTTTTAAGCTAGTATGAATAATGCTACTATAAACATTTATGTAAAAATGTTTGTGTGGACATAATTGCTTTCATTTCTTTTAGGTATACACCTAGGAGCAGAATTTCTGGGTCATATTCTTGCTTAATTGAGGAATTGCCAGACTGTTTTCTAAAGTGGCTGTACCATTTTATATTCCCACTAGCAATGCACGAGGATTTCAATTTCTCTACATCCTTGTCAACACTTGCTATTATCTGACTTTTTAATTCTAGCCATCCTAGTGGATGTAAATTGATAACTCATTGTGGCTTTGATTTAAATTTCCCTGATAACTAATTATGTCAAGCATCTGTTTATGTGTTTATTTGCCATTTGTGTATCTACTCAGCAGAAATGCTTTGCCCATTTTTCAATTGGGTTATTTGTCTTATTATTGAATTGTAAGAGTTCTTTATATATTCTGGATACAAGCCCTTTATCAGATATATGATGTGCAAATACTGTCTTTCATTCTGTGGGTTGTCTTCTTTTCTTTTCTTTTTTTTTTTCCTGGAGACAGAGTCTTGCTCTGTGGCCCAGGCTGGAGTATAGTGGCATGATCTCAGCTCACTGCAACCTCTGCCTCCTTGGGTTCAAGCAATTCTCTTGCCTCAGCCTCCCAAGTAGTTGAGATTACAGTCACGGGCCACCACGCCCAGCTAATTTTTTGTATTTTTAGTAGAGGCAGGGTTTCACCATGTTGGCCAGGGCTGGTCTCGAACTCCTGACCTCAGATGATCTCAGCTTCCCAAAATGCTGGGATTACAGGCATGAGCCACTGCGCCTGGCTTGTCTTTTCTTAATTGTATCTTTTGAAGCACAGAAGTTGTTAACTTTGATGAAGTCAAATTTTTTATTTTGTCACTTGCATTTTTGGTGTCCTATCTAAGAAACTATTGCTTAACCCAAGGTCATAAAGATTTATTTACTCCTACGTTTTCTTCTGTGAGTTTTACTGTTAACTCTTGTATTTAGATCTTTGATCCATTTCGACTTAATTTTTGTTAAAGATATGAGGTAGAGATCCCAATTCATTCTTTTTTATGTGGATATTCAGTTATTTCTGTGTTATTTGTTGAAAAGACTATTCTTTCCTGCCTCAAATTGCCATGGAAACCTTGTTGAAAATCAATTGACCATAGTTATCTATATCGGGGTGTCTAATCTTTTGGCTTCCTGGGCCACAGTGGAAGAACTGTCTTGGGCCACACAGAAAATACACTAACACCAACGATAGCTGATGAGCTAAAAAATAAATAAATAAATAAATAAATAATTGCAAAAAAACTCATGTCTTTTAGAAAGTTTACAAATTTATGTTGGGCTGCATTCAAAGCCACCATGGGCCACGGGTTGGATGGGCTTGATCTATGTCATCGGTACTGTTATGTCAATACCACATTGTCTTGATTACTGTAGCTTTATGGTAGGTTTTTAGATCAGTAAGTGTGAGTTCCTCATTTTTGTCCTTTTTAAAGATTGCTTGGCTCTTTTGGAGTCATTGACTTTTTAAACTTTGTCTATTATTTCATCTCTTTCTATTAAACATAACTGAAGTGCCCTTTCTGTTTTCCTTTCAATTGCCACAAGCCTTAGTTCATTTACGACCATAATTTGCTCCCAATACTTACATGAGTTCATGCTATTTATTTTTATTTTTATGCCATCTGTCTCTACCATTTTAGAACACAGATGATCAAATAGCCCCTGTGTCTAATTTCTTTTTGGAGTCATTGGTCACAATGTTGTTTGATTCTTGTTCTTTAGAACCTCGCATTCCTCTTGGGCTATCTTTCTTAAAATCATGCCCTAGGCTTTTTGTCTTCATTGTTATGGGCACTTGTTTGCTAATGGACCCTGACTCTGCATGCTCCTGTTGAGGCAGGAGGTGCCAGGACCACATGCTTAAGAGCACTCTCTCTCATATAACCTGTGGCCTAGAAAAGACAGTGTGGTTAGCTACAAAGACCAGATTATGTCATCTATCTAGGCTCCTCCATTCTGAAAATGTTGGCCAGAAGCTGTAACAGAATCCTATAAAAACTAACTGCATTTTCCCTAAATCTGTGGGCTATCTATTCTAGATATTTAGACTAGACAGATCCATTCACTAATAGTGCAAAGAAGTACAGAGATGCCCTCCAAGCAGCCTTCCTTCTAGTTGTAATTATGGCAAGACACCAGAATATTATGATACAAATTCCCTCTCTTCTTCAAGGTCTGCGGCTCCTTTGCACATAGTCCACAGAACACTCACTTTTTTCAGCAGAGTCAGAGACTGACCAAAGTGGTGTCTGAGAGTTGGTCAGAGGTCTGGGCAATCGCTGAGTCACCTGGGATTTCTTATTTCTTTCCATCTTTGTGTGACTTCCTAAAAAGATAGGAAGGAACTAAAACATAAGACATTCAACAGCTTTCTTATAATAATCACCAAGAAATATAATGGGGAAAGATCCCACTAACACAAAATACATATAAACAATTTAAACAAGAAATGTTCGAGATAAAAGACAAGGTGGGGAAAAAAATGTTCAGTTTATGTAACTGATACAGATTTAATCATCTTTTTATATAAAGTGGCCAACTACAAATCAATAAGAGAGGACTGTCTTTATTAAAAATTGTGGGATGAGGAGGAGCTGGATGCTAGTCCAGACTGTTTCACAGTTGCCACCAAGGGAAACACCAGGAAAGAAGAAGGAGATGGTGAAGTGGCAGATTTAGTATTTATGTGAAACTATATAGTTGTCCTTCAGTATATGGGGGGATTGTTTCCAGGACCCCCACATATTGTCTTATGCCCAATTTCTGCCTCTAAAGAAAGAAGAAGTAAAAACTAAAAGGCAGAAATGAAATCCACAGGCAGACAGCCCGGCGCCGCACCCTGGGCCTGGTAGTTAAAGATGGACCCCTGACCTAATTGGTTCTGTTATTTATAGATTACAGACATTGTATAGGAATGCACTATGAAAATCCCTATCCTGTTTTGTTCCGATCTAATTACCGGTGCATGCAGCCTCCAGTCACGTACCCCCTGCTTGCTCAGTCAATCACTATCCCCTCACACGCACCCCCTTAGAGTTGTGAACCCTTAAAAGGGACAGGAATTGCTCACTCGGGGAGCTCGGCTCTAGAGACAGAAGTCTTGCCGATGCCCCTGGCCAAATAAACCCCTTCCTTCTTTATTTCGGTGTCTGAGGAGTTTTGTCTGCGGCTTGTCCTGCTACACCCTAAGGAGCTCAGTATAGGAAAAGTCAGCCCTTCCTATATGTGGATTTCACATCCCACAAATACTGTATTTTCCATCGACTTTTGGTTGAAAAAATTTCTGGTATAAGTGGATCCACTCAGTTCAAATCCACACTATTGAAGAGTAAATTATAATTAAAAGAAAACCCTATAGGACCAATCTCCTCAATTCCACCTATGTTTTGGGAAGATGGAGTGGAAGAATGTTGGGATCTCTTCGCTTCCTCTACAAAATAAGTATAAAACATGCTTTTTAAAATTAATTAATTAATTAATTATTTTTTAGACAGAGTTTTGCTCTTGTCGCCCAGGCCAGAGCACAGTGGCACAATCTGGGCTCACTGCAACCTCCACCTCCCAGGCTTAAGTGATTCTCCTGCTTCAGCCTCCCAAGTAGCTGGGATTATATGCATGCACCACTATGCCCGGCTAAGTTTTTGTATTTAGTGGAGACACGGTTTCTCCATGTTGGCCAGGCTATTACTGAACACCAGTGAACACCAAAACAAACCACTGGGGAACCATTTATTCCTTGATCCACCTCCATGAATCTTTTACTTAATGAGACATGGATATTGAATGCATTAAAGACTTAATTTTTAGAATATAACATATTAGCCTTTAAATATGATTTAATATCTATCATAAGGATTCAAACACACAAACCACTTAGCTGAATTTCTAAAACACATTACAGGAAAATTATTGGCTACCCCTCCCTGCAGAGTGCACGCCTATAATCCCAGCTACTCAAGAGCTGAGGCAGAATTGCTTAAAGCGGGGAGGCAGAGGTTGCAATGAGCTGAGATTGCACCACTGCCCTCCAGACTGGGCGACAGAGTGACACTCTGTCTTAAAAAATAAATAAATAAATAAATAAAATAAAATAAAATAAAAAATAGAGATGGGATCTTGCTATATTGCCCAGGCTGATCTCCTACTCCTAGGCAAAAATGATCCTCCCACCTAGGTCTCCCAAAATGCTAGGATTACAGGTGTGAGCCACCATGCTCAGCCCAAAAGGGGCATTCTAAGATCATCATCAAAAAGTATAGTTTCTTGTACGTCTGCAGTTCTCAAAGTATGGTTCCTGGAGCAGTCAGCACTGGAAACTTGGAAATGAAATTATCTGGCCCTTCCCCAGACCCGCAGAATCAGAAACTCTGCAGGGAGGGGTAGCCATCTGCGTTTTCAAGCCCAGGTGATTCTGAGGTATGCTAGCCTTTGAGAACACCCGTCACAAGGAAATACTTTTCCTGTAATGTGTTTTAGAAATTCAGCTAAGTAGTTTGTATGTTTGAATCCTTATTATACATATTAAATCATATTTAAAGGCTAATATGTTACATTCTAAAAATTAAGTCTTTAATGCATTCGATTTCCGTGTCTCATTAAGTAAAAGATTCACGGAGGTGGATCAAGGAATAGGTGGTTCCCTAATGGTTTGTTTTATTGGTTCGTTGGTGTCTCAAGAAAAAGAGTCCATGGTTGGGCCAACAGCAAAGGGAACAAATAGACAAATTCCCAAGTCCTGCAGGAAGAACACGGCTTGTTTAGGGACCCTCCACAATTCCCTGACTGATTCCAACCACTTCTGTCTCTCTCCTCACGAACACTGTAGATGCCCCTGGATCCATAAACCAAGAAATCTCAGCTGCGAGTCTTAGAGCTGTGAAGTGGATTTTTCAGGAAACTATGCACATAGCCTGTCACGGTAACACTTTCTCCTTTTTTCTTCTCTAATGGAACTTCCATTTTCACCATTAGAATAAAGAGAGGGAATGAAAGAATGACAGTATCTGTCTGGAATGATCACAGAAATGATTGTGCCTGGGTCATAATGCGAGTGGTCAAGAATTAATAGCCCTCAAAACATGCCAGTAGATTTGCAGTAATTATTTCATCTTATAGATTTAGAGCTTTAAAATCCTCCTCATTTTATAGATAGGGAAACTGAGGCTCTGAGAAAGAAAATGACAAGCCCGTGAGGTGCCAGTGAGAGGCAGGACCAGGAGCAGAACGTGGCCCTCTGACTTGGAGCCTAGGGCTTTGTCACTGCAACCTGCCTCCCTTAAGTCTCTGCCTCCTGCAGTAATAGCTAGATGGAAAGCAGAAAGCCCTCCAAGTCCTAGGAACACACTGCACATGGTAGCATTTGACTAGCCTTCCCTGCTCACACACACACATATTTGCTTGATGTGGAACAAGTTACAAAATTCTTTGGTGTATTCTTAGTTCATGAGTCATCTTAATATATAGACGGGTGTGAAAATGACCTCCTGTTTGTGAACCGCGGAGAGATTTGCTCTGGTTTTGTTCTTGGTGCCTTCAGGGAAAGAGTCTGTTTGAAAGCCCCTCCTCACTTCCCCTCTCTCTTCCTTTTGGACCCAGCAGCTGAGAACTCATTTTTCTTGGAGTCATTTTCACAGCCTAGTCTATGAAGAATGCTGCTGCGTGATAAAATCCTCACTGAACCGCGGCAAAATGAGAAAAAGGGACAATGTAGCAAGTTTTTTAAAAAGCCATGTTTCCGAAGTTTAAAGGACCGTCCTTTATTTGAAATTAAGTCCTTCCTCTTTTGTATGTATGTTAAAATACCATATTTAGAAATAGATGATGGAAGTCACTTAATTAAATGGCAAAACAAAAAGTTGGCCATTATATATTTGTTAATCTTCTTAGTATTTCTAATCCATGAGATTCAAATGTCTGAGAACAAAGCCAGCACAGTAGCTCACGCCTGTAATCCCAGCACTTTGGGAGGCCGAGGCAGGCGAATCACCCAAGGTTGGGAGTTTGAGACTAGCCTGGCCAACATGGTAAACCCCGTCTCTACTAAAAATACAAAAATTAGCTGGGCATAGTGGCACATGTCTGTAATCCCAGCTACTTGGGAGACTGAAGCAGGAGAATCACTTGAACCTGGGAGGTGGAGGTTGCAGTGAGCCGAGATCGTACCACTGTACTCCAGACTGGCCAAGACAGCGAGACTCTGTCTCCAAAAAAAAAAAAATCTATGAGAACAATGTCTTTAAGTCATTGCTTTTTTTAAAAGTGCTTCTTACCCATATGTGAAGAGCCAGTTTTTTCTTTCCAGTCAGTTGTGCAACATTATTATAAAATATAATGAAAAGAATTAATTTTTAAAAAAACCAAAATGCTGCCTGGATGTTGCGGTACTGTCAGATTGTTATAAAAGTTCCCCTATCTGCCCAATTTCTTCATTTTCTCACTGCAGACTAGCGGTTAAATAGTTGGGAAAACAGCCCCCATCTGTAGGACACCCCTGCAGTACATGAAGTTGGAACATCACACTCTGTAACACCAGACTCTGCAAGGATGTGATGAGAAAAGGTATGGCCCAATCCATTTGGGAAACGCTGAGAAAATAATGCAGAAATTTCAGAGCCATTCATCTGGTGATACGGGGAGCAACATGCAATCTTTTTCCAACTTATCTGACCATAGAACCACCACCCCTATTTTTAGTAGTTCATCTCGTTCATGTCTTTCTCTTAACTCTCATGTTTCACAGATCGCAGTTTGGGAAACCATGCTCTGAAACATAGCAGCTGCCTGTTTTCTAGGAGAGAACACTGATGGCATGCCCCCTAGGCCAGCTTTGCTTTTAGAACACTGAGATGGGCCACACTGCAGTATGTGGATGTGTCTGTGTGCCCACATCTCTTCACACAACTTTACTTCATCGGAAGCAAAACTAACCCAGTGTTTTCCTCTCCCTTACGCCAATTGATGTCACTTCTAACCTTGCCTCCTTTCTCTGACCTGCACCCGTGGTGCCAGTGAAAGCTCCTGTGCCTTGCTACCTTTCTCCTTTCTCCAGTTCAGCTCACCCAGCCCCTTCCTACTGTTGACGTCTCTCGTCCTTTCCTGTTGTGCACGTAAATTCACCGTGTACCTGTCAGTAGAAGTCATCTTCATCCTTTAAATCCTTCCTTTACACTCCTGCCAAAGTCAAAGTCATCTTCTAAAGCCACGCCTCTAACCACACCATGCAGGGCTTACAATTCTTCCCTACTGTCCATGTACGGGATCCTTTCCACACACAAGAACATAATGTCCCTCTTCAACCCTGTGCCTGCCAACCCTGAACCATCCCCCACCACCATTGCGTGGTCACACCCCGTGAACCCTTTGGGTCTCAGCTTCCCCCTAAGGGCAGGATAGCAGCTAAAGGAGCAATATGATAAAACAAGGAAAAGAAGAGGGCATGGCATGTTGAGGTCAGGCTTCCCAGCATGGTTTCTGGGGCACTCCAGGTTGCTGTGAAGGTGAAGCATTGTGGGAGGGAGGGAGAAGTGTGTGGCTTCTAGTTCCAGCTTGGAGTTGGACAGAGGAGGCAGTCAGTGAGAAGGGGCTATGTGGAGTGGAGAGGATTCTTTGGGAAGGATGTACTGACTAGAGTCATTAGGAGAAGAGAGATACTTCATTTCCTAAACTTGCAACTATACACATAGCATGATACATATACACATAGCATGATAGTGCTGTCTTCTGTGTAAGACCACGTGTGCTTAGTCATCCAAATTCTCACTTATTGGCTATGCAAAGATGCTTAGGAAACTAAAGTGTAATTTGAGACAATTTTTTTAAAAAAACGTACTACCTCATGTAGGCCTTTATTTGTACTCCTTGACCTAACTTCCACAGTACTCCATAGGTTTCTGGGGCATGTAGCATATTTTATTCTGTACTTCAGTATTTGGGGAAATTCTCTTTTCCTTATATATGCCTCTCCAGATGTGATCAGATGCCTGATTCATCTTGCAAATCTGAAGTGTCACCTGGTAGTAGGAATAACCATTGTCATATTTACTGAATGAATTCGTGCTATAAATTTCTACAACTTGTCAGCTTGAAACTTGCATTCACCCACAAAATTCTATTTCAGACTCACCCTTGCTGCTTTTGCAAATAAATGCAGTTGAGAGATTCATTTGCAAGTGAAGCAGCGTATCTTACACCACAAACACTCATCTCAGAGAGCTGAAAGAATCCAGAACGCTTTCTCTCTCCGGATGCAAGATGTTTTTGTTTGGTTATTGTTTCACTTGGTTTCTCTTGATGTCTTCTCGTTTACTTGCATGTCACTATCAGCGAGATACCTGCATCTATGGACCTGGGGATTTAAAGTGGCTCTATGAATCTTCCAGCATGTTCGCAAACAAGTTGGAGCTGCAGACATATCCACTTACTGTGGAATGCCTAGAACTGAGGATTTGAGAGAAAACTCTGAATCAGGGTGAAGTCCCAGTGGAACCAGACTGGTATTTGCTCCAAGAGTAAGAGCTACTTCAAAGAAAATATAAAATATCAACAATAAAAAAACTAATAACTCTTATTTTGGAATATGTGCCCTACTTTCCTCATACATCTTGTCTAGGACACGTGGCAGCCCTGGGGACCGCCTATGAGCCTGCAGGAAGAACATCCCTGGATCACTGTGAACATGGAAGGCGTGAAAGTTCAATTGACTACAGCTGGCACCTTAGCCATGAGCTGCTGTTTCTTAACTCCCAATCTAACTTAACTCCTAATCTAACCCATTCTTATCATAGTCTTAAATATAATATTACATATGTTGTAGAATGCCCTAATTAAGGAGTGTCCCTCCAGAAATTAGTGGTTTTTCCCTGTCTCCCTTAGTGAGAAAGAAATCCAGCTTTTTTTCTTTTTTTTTTTTTTTTTTTTGGAGACAGGGGCTCACTTTGTCATCCAGACTGGAGTGCAGTGGCATGATCTCAGCTCACTGCAGTCTCGACCTCCTGGACTCAAGCCATCCTCCTCCCACCTCAGTCCCCCAAGCAGCTGGGACTACAAGTGCACGCCATCATGCCTGGCAATTTTTTTTGTACTTTTTATAGAGACGAGGTCTCACCATATTGCCTGGGCTGCCAGCTATTTGATATGTAAGCAAGAACGGGAAGTTACCTTAAAGCAAAGTAGTTTCTTCTTGCTGTGCCAAGAACCACTAAATTACTGAACGCTTATGTAAGTACAGAGCCAAGAGCCTTGTTATTGTGGGAAAAAGGTTTAACCAAGCTCTTTGAATTTTGAGAGCTTTGTGAAAATTAGTCTCACTTCTTAGTGGAAGAATTGGCCACCAAGAAGAAGACAGTGGAACTCCGTTGCGTGGGGCTCACGCCTGTTTGTCAACACTGATCTGCTGGCAGAATGTAACCCTCAGCCATTACTTTCCCTTAAAAATCTCATGTATTTATAGCAGCATTATTCGCAATAGCCAAAAAGTGGAAGCAACCCAAATGCCCGTGGACAGACAAATGGATAAACAGAACGGGGGGCACATACATTCGATAGAATATGATTCAGCCTGAAAAAGGAAGGAAATTCTGACACATGCCACAACGTGGATGCACCCTGAAAACATCATATTACGTGGAAGAAGCCAGACATTAAAGGTCATGTATTATATGGTTCCATTTATACGAAATGTCCAGAATAAACAAATCTACAGAGACAGAGAATGGTGGTTGCCAGGTGGTGGGAGGAGAGGGAGAGTGGGGAGTTTTTATTATTCAATGGGTACAAAGTTTCAGTTTGGGAAGATGAAGAGTTCTGGAGAGGGATGGTGGTGATGGTAGCCAACAACACAAATATATTTAATGACATTGAACTGTACACTTAAAAATGGTTAAGATCGGCTGGGCACGGTGGCTCATGCCTGTAATCCCAGCACTTTGGGAGGCAGAGGTGGGAGGATCACGAGGTCAAGAGTTCAAGAGCATCCTGGTCAACATGGTGAAACCCTGTCTTTTCTCAAAATACAAAAATTAGCTGGGTGTGGTGGTGCCTGCCTGTAATCTCAGCTTCTCAGGAGGTTGAGGCAAGAGAATTGCTTGAATCCGGGAGGCAGAGGTTGCAGTGATCCAAGATCGCGTCACTGCACTCCAGCCTGGTGACAGAGTGAGACTCCATCTCAAAAAAAAAAAAAAAAAAAAAAAAAAGGTTAAGATCTTAAATTTTATGTTATATTGATTTTTTACCTCAATAAAAAAGTTTTTAAAATTATAAAACAGCCACACAAATGTTCTGCTCCATCCAGAACCTGTAAGGTCAACCACAGCAGGGGGTCAGCCTCCATCACAGAACCTGGACCAGACCTTCAGTAGAGAGTGAACAGGTGCTTCACTACCCTACAGTCCCCTTCTCCTCCTTTCCCCAGAGTCAAAAGCTCAAAACTCACCTTCCAGCTATAGCAGTAAATTCACGAAGCTGTCCACCTCCCCTCTCTCAGGTCCAAATCCCTCCCTGTCAAGGGCATAGGGATCCCCAAGTATTCACCCCATTGCTTGATAGAGTGTGGCATTTGTTGACATAGGTAGAATTGGGAGCAATGCATTACAAATATGCTAATTTTGAAATGCCTATTTGGCACCCAAAATGAGTTATCAAATAAACAGCAGGACATACAATGGGAAGCTCAAAAGAAAGGCTGGGTTGCAAAAATGAACGCGGGCTCCTAGCACAGAAAGCGTAGACTGGAATGGAAATGGATAAGCTCACCCTGAGAAAAGCAGAGACAGAAGAGCAAGTGTGTGGCCAAAGACTGAGTTAGCTGGACGAATGAAAATGGAGGAAACATCACCCAAGTCTTTCTAACCCACCCACATGAGATGGCCAAATTAAGGACAGAATTCAATCGGGACACTTTGTGTTCCAGTGAGAGAAATTGAACCAAGAGGCTTGTATTGGAAACTTTGTGATTTCCAAAAGAAACAGGATGCAGAAACTGAAAAACCAGAGAATAAACCACATGACTCTTGCTCTGGCATAACTCCCTGCTCTCTGTAAATCAACTTTATGCCACAGCAGGAAACACTGCTATGGCAGCAACGGAACTCATCTCCTCCAGCTCCGCCATCAAGGACAACTGAGCTTCCTTTCAATTCCAGTTCAAAAAATTCCATGGAAGAATAGATGGGTTCAGCTTAGGTCATGTGACCACCCTATTGCTATCATCTGAATGTTTGTGTCCCCTCAAAAACTTGTAAGTTGAAATTCTAACCCCTAAGGTGATAGTATTTAAAGATGGGATCTTTGGGAGGTGACTGGGTCTTGAGGATGGAGCCCTCATGAATGGAATTAGCGTCCTTGTAAAAGAGGCCCCGGAAGGCTGGGAGCAGTGGCTCATGCTGTAATCCCAGCACTGTGGGAGATGAGGTGGGCGGATCACAAGGTCAGGAGTTCAAGACCAGACTGACTAACATGGTGAAACCCCGTCTCTACTAAAAATACAATTAGCCAGGTATGGAGTCACGTACCTGTAATCCCAGCTACTCGGGAGGCTGAGGCAGGGGAATCACTTGAACCCAGGAGGCAGAAGCTGCAGTGAGCCGAGATCGCACCATTGCACTCCAGCCTGGGCAACAGAGCGAGACTCTGTCTCCAAAAAAAAACAAAAAAAAAACAACAAAAAAAACGGGTCCGACAGAGCTGCTTGGCCCCTTCCACTGTGTGAGACAACACTGTGAGAAGGCACAATCTATGAACCAGGCACAATTTATGAACCAGGAACCTCTCACCAGACACTGAATCTGCCAGTGCCTTGATCTTAAACTCATCAGCCTCCAGAACTAAAAGAAATAAATTTCTGATGTTTATAAGCTACTTAGTTTAAGGTAATTTTGTAATTACAGCCCCAAAGGACTAAGATACCTGCCAATATTGGATAGGTTGGGTTGGAGCCAGTGCCTAGACCAGTCTGTAACTGTGACCAGAGAGGAAGGGTTTGTGAAAATAGGGCAGTCCTCACCAGAATAGCCAGATTTTTTTTTTTTTGAGACGGAGTTTCACTCTTATCGCCCAGGCTGGAGTATAATGGTGCGATATCAGCTCACTGCAACCTTCCCCTCCCGGGTTCAAGCGATTCTCCTGCCTCAGCCTCCCAAGTAGCTGAGATTACACGCATGCGCCACCATGCCCGGCTAATTTTGTATTTTTAGTAGAGATGGGGTTACTTCATGTTGGTCAGGCTGGTTTCAAACTCCCGACCTCAGGTGATCCGCCCGCCTCGGTCTCCCAAAGTACTGGGATTACAGGCGTGAGCCACTGTGCCCTACCAGAATAGCCAGATTTGAGTGAGAAAAGCATTTCCTAAAAAAGGTTGGAAGAGGCCCAGGCAGACAAAAGTAAGTCCCCACTATACAACATCCAGACTCTTTGAGGCAGAAGCCTGTGTACAAAGATACGGTAACAAAGGAAGTAGTGACACCAGCCACACACACCCTCTCCCTCTAGTTGCCATTCCTTGTTTCTAAAAGAGATCATATCTTAATAATTATAGAACTCTAGCTGGCCTGGGGTGTCTGCCGCTGAAACTTCAATTGCAGCTCATTCAGGAGAAGCTAAGGCATATCACAGGTCTCAAAGCATCAGGTACACTATAGCAGTCCCACCCAGGGGACTGGGGTGGTCTGTTCTCAGCATTTTCCACCAATTTCATAACAAGTAAGAGCCTAATTCTTCCAGACCCCATCTCCCCAAAGGCAACTAAATCAGAAGGAAAGATCTACTGAATACTGGTTCACAGAAGCCTAAAGCCGCCTCATCAGAGCCTGGGGATTCCATCCTGTTGACCCAGTAGACTTCTTTGTCTTATCACAGCAGAACATATCAGCACTAGAAATCAACACGTTGTTCCAGGCAGTGGTCATCAACCGTGATGAGGACAAGATGGCTTTTGCTTTCTTATCTCTCTACTCCCAGCACAGAAGCATTGCCTGTCCTTGCTCTCATATGCTCATCCCTGTGGATGAGATCATCACAATTAAAACTAGAGCGTTCACTATTGATGATCGATTACCTACCTTGCTCACAAAATACGCCCAGAAGGGCTTATCTTATATATATATACACACTTTTTTTTTTCAGAGACAGGGTCTTACTATGTTGCCCAGACTGATCTCAAACTCCTGGCCTCAAGTGATCCTCCCACTTCAGCCCCCAAAGCACTGGGATAACAGGCGTGAGCCACTGTGCCCAGCTGACATATTTTTTTTCCGAGTGGGATCAGGGTAACTTGGAAGGTAGCCAAAGCTGGGGCAGAGAAGGCAAGAAAGGCCCTGCTCTCACTGACTGTTGGAGAATGATAATTCTTTCAGAGTTTTCTGGGTTAGCAATGATGGGACCAAAAAGTCTAAGGTGAACAGTGTTATGGCAGGGACAAGACAGGGGCAACCTATGTATGAGAAGCAATGATTGCAGTCCATTGAAACAAATTACAGCTACAAAAAAAACATCCAATGCTCCATGATTCTGAAAAGGAGACAGGTGAGCAAAAGCACAGATTCTTACAGAGTGTTGATTATTTCTATCCGGGGTTGCTGTAG